GTAAAAAACTTAGAGTTTTGTCAATTCTGTCCACAAGCTCGTCTTCGTTAATCGCTTTTCCGCTTGAAGACGCCGCTTTTTTCCCTTTATCCCTTTCCGGTGGTCGACGAAGTTGGACTTCCGGTGGACCCTCCCCTTCGGTCCCATCGAAGTCGTCATTGAGGTCGACACCAAAACTCACATCCGACTCAGAAGTTCTTGGCCTTTTGTTGGAGCCAGTGGTCGATCCCGAATGCGAAGTCTCCGGGTTAAAGACCCATTTTGGATCGTTACGACAAATTTCTCACGCTTTTTGGTGGCCGAACGCTTTACCGCCGGTGGTAACTTTGAATTGTTGGCAAGCGGTTGATAAAATATTGAAATCGTTGCTACCACTTTTATGCATATTTTTCAGATTTTCAAATATGTCGTTAAATTTGGTGCACGCCGCTCGTAGTCACGCCATTTTCCATTGATCGCGTCGTACGTTCGGCCCGTTTGCCTTCCCAAGAGCGAGTGAAAGTGATCTAAAACGCGAAGCCAAAAACTGTTTCCCGTTTGCGCGTTACCAGTCCTCGAGTCGCACGATATAGAAATCCAAGCTTTAGCTAAAGCTTCCTCCTCCTCTTCGATCCAAGTCGTTCCTCTTTTATTTGTAGCTTTTCCTTTTGATTTCCTTCGCCTGGATGGTTGTGTTTCTTCGACCCGGTCGTCGTCGTCGTTGTCCAAGTTTATAGGTGGGGATTGAGAAAAAGGGACTTGAGATGGTTGTGTTTGGAATTGTTGAGATGGTTGTGTTTGGAATTGTTGGGGTTGAAATTGTTGAAAACCTTGGAATTGGGATTGTGGTATTTGTTGTTGGAAGCTAGTTTGGTTGAAATGGAATGTTGGTAAATAGAGGTTGATGTTGGATTGGAGATGTTAGCATTTGAATGTAACCTTGATATTGATCATTTGGAGTGTTTGGGGTTGTTGGGTGTTTGGAGTGGTAGAGGTATTTTGATGTTGCTCCATATTTTTGAGAGAAAATGAGAAAGTAGAGAGATATTATTTGTAGAGAGATATGTGTTTTTGTGTTTATGTGTTTGTGTATATATAGTAGAAGAATTAAATTGAAAAGGTTTTTTTTTTAATTAACCAAACGGTCCAAAAAACGGTCAAAAAGTTTTGGCGAATCAGATTCGACGTAACCATCCGTGATACCCATCAATCCGCGTCACACTCAACATGGGGGGAGGGGGGGTGTTCACGCATAAATACCCCCCTCCACGTCACCTACTACGCGTCAAAAACTATGCCATACCCCATGGCCTTAACTCTTTTAACTATCAATCAAAAATTTAATAGAATTGTAGTATTTATGTTTTTTTATTTTAACAGAAAACATTTCATTAAAAAAAACAAAAGCTTAAGCAAGGTGATCAAGATAAAGTTCATGAAAAACAAGATAAAGGAGAATTACACCACATATGTCAGTTAAGAACATTAAATTTAGATCTATTCTTAATCCAATTAAACGTAAGCAACTAAGCATGCTAATATCATCAGCAATCGCCATTGAAGGTCGCCTCTCATTCTTAAAAACAATTGCGTTTCTTGCTTTCCAGATCATCTGTAGCACCTGGTTCTTGGTATGTACTTTTATTTAAGTATTTTGCATTTTTGGTCTTGGACTCGGCGAGTTGAAGGACCAACTCGCCGAGTAGAAGCGGGATGAGGCGCAGGATTTAAGTGATGGACTCGACGAGTCGGGTCCCGGACTCGACGAGTAGGCTCTGACTGGACAAAACCCTAATCTGAGGATTTGTACCCTATTTAAACAACCTTATACAGCCTCCATCGCCCCTTTATGCTCCCAGAAACCCTCCATAGCAAACCCTAAGTGTTTTGGTGCAAGATCTAAGGCTTTTGAGTGATTTTTGTGGGTTTTGACCTCAAGGAAGAAGGAAGAGCATAGAAAGATCAAGAGGAAGCTGAAGGATCCGATTTTGGTTCATCATTTGCAGCCTTTGAGAGGTATAAAGTCTGTACCTTGCTCTTTCATTTGATAGATCCCTTTTTGGGGAGATTTAGGGCTTTTATAAGCCATTTTGGTAACCAACCATGATTGCAAACATGGTTGGGGGTCAAGACTTCGGATCTAAGTCTTGGGAGGGGTCACAAGGCAGATTTGGGTTGCTTTTGCACCCAAGGAAGGCCCCATGCAACACTAGAGCTTATTTTATGTCCTTTTGAGCTCAAAGTCCCATGCGTGCACGTAAAGTTTGTAACTTTACGTGCTAGAACGATTAAAGGAGCCTAGATCTATCTTTTGGTCAAGTGTTGTACATCAGAAATCGAGGATTTTGGGTGTGGACGTTATCGACTCGGCGAGTCCGTACTTGGGACTCGACGAGTCCAAGGCTTTGAGTCCCATTTCTGATGAGGGTCAAAAGGACTCAGTTAGGCGTTAGAAAGGTTGTAACAGTACAAAAGGAGTGACCTAACGCACTGGACTTAATTTTAGACCTGGAGTTCATGGGACTCGACGAGTGCTAGAACAGACTCGGCGAGTCCAAGGCAATCTTCTTAAGTTTGAAGATGAACTCGACGAGTTGTTCCTACGACTCGGCGAGTCAAGGTCAGGACTTGTTCATCAGTTGAAGGTGAACTCGACGAGTGTTCATCCGACTCGGCGAGTCGGATGAAGGTTCATTGATGTTCGTAAGGAAGGGGAACTCGTCGAGTCGTTGCCAAACTCGACGAGTCGAGTCGTGGATAAGGACGAGTAAAGGGAAGGGACTCGACGAGTTGACGGCCCAACTCGGCGAGTCGGGTCAACTGGAAGTTGACTTTGACTTGGACTTGGTTGGGGGTAAAATGGTCATTTTACCCTAAGAGTAGACATCAGTTTCTAACTGAGTGTTTTGTGGGGGTTGTAGCCGGAGGATTTCCGAAGCAGCAGCGGACGGAGGTTTCCCGCACAGATTATCAGCAGCTTCCCGTACGAGGTGAGTTACCTTCCAGTAGGGGTGGGTCTAAGGCCACAATGCCGGCCCACCAAAGAGGAGTATTTAGGAGATGATTGTCTTTGTGATAATTATCTTGGTTTGGTTACATGCTTTGGTCATGAGTTTTATCTGTATGATATGTTACGTGTATGATAGGGATTGATTTCCCTGGTAGCGGTCCTTAGGACCGAAGGGTAGGTCAGTACCCGGATATGCCTGACTGTATGTTTATATCTTGTTGTTGTATGCTAGTGGTAGGGGGTGGAATAGTCCCCAGTTACCGGTTGAAAGATACCGATGATGGTTACCGGTTGAAAGATACCGATGATGGTCACCGGTTGAAAGATACCGATGAGGATTACCGTTGAAAGATACCGACGATGATTACCGGTTGAAAGATACCGAGGATATTGTATGGTATGTGGTATGATGGGGGAACTCACTAAGCTTTGTGCTTACGGTTTCGGTTTTGGTTTCAGGTACCTCTTCGTCTAAGGGGAAGGAGCCGGCGGCGTAGCATCGCATCACACACACACACACACATGATTTCCGCATGGAGCTTTCTGGGATTTGTACTCTGATATGTTATTATTTTATGACTTGGGTTTTCAGACATGATACATTGTTTATGAGATGATGTGTTTTCACAGTATTTTCTTATGAATGTTTTTATGAGTCAGTTAATTAAAAAGAAATTTTTGGACCTGAAAATTGGGATGTTACATCATCCAAATGGTGCAATAGATTAATGACAACTTCAAATTTTAAGTTTTTTTTCTCACTGTTAACCTGATTGAGCATCATTTCTAAATCAAGAGATGAAAGGGTTGTTCTGGAAGAATTCGAGACCACTCCACAAGCCACTTCCACAACAATGGCACATAACCACAAGAAAAGAAAATGTGATCCAACCCTTCATCAAAATCATGACAGAAAGTGCATAAGTTGGACGATACCACTATACCACGCCTCATTAGGTTAGGAACCAAATGAATCCTATTTTTTATCATTCTCCAGACAAAACAATTGATCTTCAGCGGGGTCCAACCAACCCATTTGAAAGAAGTTACCATAACATGATTATCCATAAGAAGCTTTAAAGATTTGATCGAGAAATCTTCTTTGCTATCAACACTCCAAGTCCACCTATCATTATAAAAATGAAACTGAAAATTATTCAACATATCAGTGAAGTCTGATAATTGTCTCATTTAACGCCCACTCCTTGTTTGTCTAGATCATTCCCAAAAGAAATGCTTCTTCATTCCAGCCCACACCCACTCTATCACTAATTAAGCAATTTATGTGAATTATGATTTAAAAAGTTAAGTGTGTGTAAATTATATATAAATAAAAATGAAAATGGAGATAATATTTAATTTATATTTATATCTAAAAATCAGCATTTTATGATTAACTTTTCAATAGCTATTTAAGTTTAAAAAGATTTAGAGGTTACATATTTATTGTAAATTATCTAAAAAAAAAAACAAAAGTAAAGGAGTTTGAGTATTTCTTATAGAAAAAACCATTATAGTTGAATACAGTTATATAGATAATTTGAGAGTTTGAGGTTACATATTTATTGTAAATTATCTAAAAAAACAAAAGTAAAGGAGTTTGAGTATTTATAAAGGAGTTTTTTAAGAGTTTTTTTTTCATCTTTAAATAATCATTAAAAATGAAAAAAATATTGGATGAGTTTTATTTTTAATTTATGTTTTTTCAAAAAATATTAAAAATCAAAAAAAAAATTCTCTTACGATATTAAAAAAAAAATAGTATGTTAATTAATAAGTTTTTCTATTAAGTTTTTTCAATTATTCTGTGGATATATATAGATTTTCAATACTGTAGACAATTTTTATAAAGCTTCTATAAAAAACAAATAAAATAATTCTTTTTTTTTTTTACTGTGAAGATAAGATTAGATTTTTTATTTTAAGTTTTTTATTAAAAAAAAGCAATATTAGTAAAAAAAAATCTAGTTATAAACCATACGTGTGCAATTTCCATTCTTCCTCTTTAACCCCTCCCCCAATCCCGTCTCTGAAAATCGTCTATAATGACCTCCTCCAGCTACCACGAGCACCATTAAACTCGCCACCAACCTCCTTTCTCCTCTCTAATTCTTTCATGTCTTCCTTTTCCGACCAAGCTCCTGCTCCCCGGACTGGCGGACTCGCAGCTCGAATCGCAGAAAGAGTGGGCTCCGGCGTACCAAAATTCAAGTCAATCCCTCCACCTTCACTACCCATCTCCCCTCCGGCGGTATCACCTTCTTCCTACTTCGCTATTCCCGCTGGTTTAAGCCCGGCTGATCTTTTGGACTCCCCTGTTCTTCTCTCGTCTTCCCACGTAAGTCTCTGTTTTTTTTTTCACCCGTTGGTGGCGGTTTGATTCCACCAGCGCTGACCCTGTATTTGAGCCTTTTGTTTCTTGTTTTATGGCAATGAAACAGTTTTTCGATGAAAATACATGGGAATTTGCTAAAATTTGGAACTGATATGATAAAGTTTTTTTTTTCCCTCTTTTGGACTAAACATGAATTTTAGCGCGCCAGATGTTTGTTGTTTTTGTTGACTGAAACATATGTTTAATTACACCTTTTTAAACATTTATTGCAGATTCTACCATCTCCGACCACCGGTTCCTTCCCATTTCAAGCTTTCAATTGGAAGAATCTCAGCAGCAACAACCAGAACCACGAACAGAGCATAAAAAAGGAGCAAAAAAGCTTCACAGATTTCTCTTTTCAACAACAATCAAATCATCTTACTGTAAGTTTTAATCATTCTGGGTTTCTTATGTTTTGGATAAACAATAAACGGACAATAATTTGATTTCTGATTTCAGGAGCAACTATGGAATCATCAGAAATCCAGGGAACAAGATGAAAAAGCTTTTGTGCAATCAGAACACGCATCACAGTTCCAGAGTTTCTCCCCTGAAATTTCCACGATTCAAACCGATTCAAATTCGCAGACGCAGGGTTTTCAATCGGGTTATGCAGCCAGCAACAGCAATTTCAACAATCAATCATCGCAGAAAAAATCAGATGATGGGTATAATTGGAGAAAATACGGGCAAAAGCAGGTGAAAGGAAGTGAAAATCCTAGAAGCTATTACAAGTGCACGTATCCAAACTGTTCGATGAAGAAGAAACTGGAAACGAATTTAGATGGACAGATTACAGAGATAGTGTATAAGGGTAACCATAATCATCCAAAACCTCAATCTACTCGAAGATCATCGTCATCGTCATCAGCTTCAAATCATTTACAGATGACTCAAGTATCTAGTAACCATGAACTACTTGATTACCCTGATCAATCTTATGGTTCTCACGGATCTGGGCAGTTCGATTCCGTAGCCACGCCGGAGAATTCGTCAGTTTCTGATGACCTTGATCGGAGTAGCTGTCAGAGGAGTAGGTCAGGTGGGGACGAGTTCGATGAAGACGAGCCTGATGCCAAAAGATGGTAAATTTCTCCTTTTTATTACAAAAAAGTATATTTATACGTGTATTTTGAATGGTATTTGCGATTCAAATCAATATTTGCTAATTTAATTTCGTTACTGATTCACAGGAGGGCGTCGGAAAATGAAGGGATATCAACGATCGGAGGAACTAGAACTGTAAGAGAACCGAGGGTTGTGGTTCAAACAACAAGCGATATTGATATTCTTGATGATGGGTATAGATGGAGAAAATACGGCCAAAAAGTAGTCAAAGGAAACCCTAATCCTAGGTAAGAAAATAATCATCATGTTATAGATTTATAATGAGATTATTGTGGTTTCTAAATTTATATTTACATTATATTTTTCTTTAAAATCTATAGGAGTTACTATAAATGTACGAGTTCCGGTTGTTCTGTTAGAAAACACGTTGAAAGAGCGTCCCAAGACTTGAGGTCAGTGATAACAACCTACGAGGGAAAGCACAACCACGATGTCCCAATGGCTCGAGGGTCTGGTCATCGGTTGCCATCTGGCACACTCGGCAACAACATTCCCACCACCGCAATTAAGCCTGTTGCACTCTCCCATTACCAATCTAACAACTCTATTTCGGATTCAGCCCGTGGATTCAGTTTCCTTTCATCAGCAGATAATCAAACAATGTTTACGTCAGAGATGTTGCAGAATAATGAAAGTTTCAAGTTCTCGAGATTTGAGAATGCTCTGAACTCGAACTACATTGATCAAAAACGTGATTCCGAAAGAGCATTTTCAGAAGCCAAGGAGGAACCTCGAGATGATATGTTTTTCGAGTCCTTATTATGCTAAGGACATTTTCAGAAGGGCTTAAATAATGACACTTATCTATACTTCAAAGACTTAGAGATAGATTACATACACAAGAAAGAAAGATTCTTTTGTTGTTTTATTGCCATTTTGTTTGTTGTGTGTATATTTTTGGTAAAAAAATCCTATAGGAGCATTACTTACCTTTTTACCCTCGTTATTTTGAGGCCTCTCCAATGTAAAGTCTCATGTACAACATAGGATCGGGGGTATATTGTATTTACAATTTTTCATATATTTTGAATATCTAAAAAGTTTAAGCTTTATGAGGTTAAGAGACTCAACAATATTGAGATTTGTACGCGAGTATTTTCTTGATTTGGATAATAATAAATTTTAAAAGATAAATCATATAAAACTTGAACCTTCTGATTTATGTTGACAAATGAAGAAGTGATAAATTTTTATTTTTTAGAGGAAAATTATATAAAATAAAATAAAATGGAGCGTGCAAGAAAAACTTTGGGCTGGTGGCTGAAAAGAAAGGAAAAAGCAGGGTAGAAAGCGACAAAAATCATAACTGTGGGGGTCGGTGATTCTCACGTTACTTTAAAGAGGCACCCGTCATTGATGACATAATCATGTTACATTTATGGTTCGTTCACATTTAGATAATGGAGTATGAACTTTGGTTGGTTTCAAACCAACTACGATATTTGATTTAAGTTTTAAATACAAAATCTAATTTAAAGTAATTATTATATTTAAATACAACTTTGGTTAACGTTTTTTTTGTCCATGTGGGTTTGCTTAACTTATAAGTTAAATTTAATAATTTTTTTTTAAATATAACTCTAAATGTCCAATTGTTTTATATCGGCTTATAATATATATTTTTAATAACAATCATTGTTCTGCATATGTTTATAGGACATGTTAGTCTTTATGTATTTATTTTATTATTCGTTCTGTTTTTCTATTTTTTTTTTAAAAAGTAACAAAAAATGTAAATGTCTAATGGGGTTTGAATGGGTCAAAGATTTATGGCGAATCGATGATGTCGACGACGACTTGCGAGTCTAGATTAACTTGGCAAACACGTTGGTTAAAGTCAACCTGCCACTTGCGAAGAACCTTCCTTTCCATTTGTTGTTTTGTTAAGCTTAAATAATCATCCGACCTAATTATATAAAATTAAATAAAAATTATAAAATTGGTCCATATGGTTTGAAAAAAAAGTGTTGATAGAGTCCAAAAAGTATTTAATTTGCATTAAAGATTCAAAATCAAATAATTTATGTGATTTTGGTCTAAGAAAACTTGAAAAGACGGTTATGTCATTTTATTTTATTTTTTCCACATTTATAATTATTCAAATACTATTTTAATATAAAAATAAAAATAAAATAAAATAATTATCCCTCACCCACCTACCCATATCTCTCTCTCTCTCTCTCTCATACAAAAACACATAGACTTCTCTCTCCCCCATACCCTTCTTCTCTCTTTAACTCTATTTTTCTTTCTCTTATCTTCTTCTCACCTTTCACCTGCAAATCATTTGCAGATGAAAAAAATACCTAGATGATAAACACCTTCATTTTCTCTCTGTCTCTCATTTTCGTTTTATCCATGTAAGATTGAGTGATCCAAAATAACAAAAACAATTGCAACAAAAACCCAATACATATTGTCATAATCCAGATTTGGCAGCTTTAATTTGTTGATTTCTGCACGTTTTTTTTTGTTATTTTAATTAGTCTTCAAGTTTGAATAAGTCCAAGCCATGTTGGCTAGTTCTTCCCTGTTTTCATGCATATAGGGTAGTCTGTTTCCTTTATGTTAGGCATTTCCTTTTCTAGTTTAAATACAAGGCAAAAGTGTACGTTTGTATGTGGTTTTCTCTTCCAAGTTAGTGAATAACAAGTGCAGCCTTTTGCCCCTGTATGTGTTTCTTTTCTGTCCCAGTTCTTTTTTTCCTTATTTTTTTGCCACTGTGATACTCTTTATTTTGTCCCTGTTCTTTGTCTCTGTATTATCATCTCTTCAAGAAGCCAACATTTGGTATCAGAGCACAACCTGGTGCATGCCAAAGTACCAACCGCGAAAAGAGATGACATGAAACAAAGAAAATGGTGAAAAGGAAGGTATGATCACTCTTCATTACCCGATGCTGTCAAGGAGTAACTACTCTGCATGGGCCATAAAAATGAGGGTCTTCATGCAAGCCCAGGGAGTGTGGGATGCAGTGGAACCCAGAACATCAAACAGTGTGGTATAAGTGAAGAAAGATAAAATGGCCTTGGCAGCCATCTATCAAGGCATACCTGAAGATTTATTGCTTTTATTGGGTGAGAAGAAAACAGCCAAAGAAGCATAGGAAGCCTTGAAGACCATGTTCTTGGGGGCAAATAGAGTGAAGACAACAATAATACAAACTTTAAAAGCCGAGTTTGAAGCCTTGAATATGAAGGAGTCGGAAGTTGTAGATGAGTTCGTTGTGAAAGTGAGCAATATAGTTAGTACCATGCGTACTCTGGGGGATACAGTTGAAGAATCCTATGTAGTGAAGAAACTACTGAGAGCAGTACCCCTTAAATTCCTTCAAATAGCCTCAACCCTGGAGCAGTTTGAGAACTTGGATGAAATGACAGTTGAAGAGGTGATTGGAAGACTGAAAGCACATGAAGAACGTATGAAAGGTCATAGTGAACCAGATGATAGAAAGCTTCTCATGACTTACTAAGAATGGACTGAAAAGAACAAGAAGAGTGCTGAAGGTGACTCCAAAAGCACCCCAAAAGGGAACTGTGGTGGATCTGGATCATCACGGGGAAGAGGAAGGGGTCGAGGCAGAGGTGGTGGACGCGGTGGTCGTGGTAGAGGCAACTCTTCCCACCAGAAGAACGGAAACAATGGTGGGTCCAACAGTCAAGATAAGAGTACTGTACAATGCTATAATTGTCAAGACTATGGATATTATGTTGCTGAGTGTAAGAATCCAAGAAAAGAAAGAAATCAAGTGAATAACTTGATTCAAGAACAGTTTGACAACGAACCAGCACTATTTTGGCATCTTTTGATGCAACTGTAGAAAATGGTGAAGTGTTCTTGAATGAAGAAAACTTAAACCCACCATTGAAGACAAAAGGAGATATAGTGAAACAATCAAACATGTGGTATTTGGATACAGGGGCCAACAACCACATGACAGGTGAAAAGTACTAGTTTTAGACAAAATGATTCAAGGTTATGTGAAGTTTGGGAATGAAGCTAGAGTGAGAATTGAAGGAAAAGGCTCAACTGTTTTCCAATGCAAGAATGGAGAACATCGTAAGTTGGATGAGGTTTATTATATCCCAGACTTATGTAGCAACATAATAAGTCTGGGACAGTTGGCGGAAGGTAGAGATGAAATCAGAATAAAGGATCCATTTTTATGGGTTCATGACACTTCTGGAAGGCTGTTGATGAGGGTCCAAAGATCTCCAAATCGGCTCTACAATATTGAATTAGAAGATACTCATCCTCGTGGAAGATACTCATCCAAATCGGCTATACAATATTGAATTAGAAGATACTCATCCAAATCGGCTCTACACTTCTGGAAGTCTGGGACAGCGTGCTTAGTTGCTGAAATCAGTGAACCCTCATGGCTTTGGCACGCTACGATGGGTCATGTGAATTTTCACTCTCTAAAACTCATGTCTGATAAGAAGTTAGTTGAAGGTATACCAAAGATACTCATCCCAAATCAGCCATGTGAAGGTTGCCTATTAGGAAAGGAGTCATGAAACTCCTACCCTTCACAAGAAAACTACGGGGCAAAGAAAAGATTGGAGCTTGTCCATGGTGACTTGTGTGGACCGGACTCACCTCCAACATCCACTGGAAACAGGTACTTCATGTTGCTTTATGATGATTACAGTAGAGTAATGTGGGTCTATCTAATGAAAACAAAAGATGAAGCTTTTCAAGTCTTTAAGAACTTCAGGGCAAAAGTAGAAATTGAATCAGGAGAGAAGATGAAGGTTCTTAGAACGGATCATGGTGGTGAATTCCTTTCAAATCAGTTCACTTCATACTGTAATGAAACAGGTCTGGATCATCATTATATTGCACCATACTCCCCACAACAAAATGGGGTTGTGGAGAGGCGAAATCGATCTGTTCTGGAGATGGTTAGAAGTAGCTTGGAATCCATGAAGGTGCTTGATGTTTTGTGGGGAGAGGCAGTAAGTCACGCTGTGTATGTTCTAAATAGAGTTAACCCAGAAGCTCTTAAAGATACTAGACCGTATGAAGTATGGACGAGTAGAATGCCACAGGTAGAGCATCTTAGGGTGTTTGGTGTGTTGGGCACATGAGGGTGTCCAAGAGTTACTTGAAGAAGTTAGAAGATAAAAGCATGAAAGTTGTTTATCTTGGAGTAGAAAGAGGGACAGAAGCATATAGAGTGTTGGATCCAGACATGGGTTTAATATATGTGAGAAGGAACGTGTGTTTTGAAGAAAATAAACGTTGGCCATTGGAGACGGCAAGAAAGATTAGAGCCGTTCCAGGAATGACGTTCACAGTGGATGGATACAACGAAGACACCTTTGAGATAGAGGGAACAATACGTAATGTGGCTAATATGTCAAACGTTGGACCTTATCAAGATAGTCCAACATTGACTGAAAGTGGGCCATTTAATGAAGATTCGGTGCAACCCTCTAATACTCCAGTACAACCCATTACTTCTCAATTGGAATCATCCACAAACCAACAAAACACACCACAACAGATCGTATCACCTCCATACATACCAACGTCGTTAACTGGGTCATCGACCTCGGTATCAAGCTCCACGAGTGGAGGCGCTCCCAAAAGGTATCGATTACTAATCGATCTGTATGAAAATACCGATCGATTAATGTTGATTCAAAACAGTGACGAGCCATCGTCGTATATGGAAGCAAGCAAGCAAGTCGAATGGGTTGAGGCTATGAAATCAGAGCTCGATTCAAATGAAAGAAACAAGACATGGGATTTGGTCGAACTACCTAAAGATCGAAAGGATATAGGGATGAAGTGGGTTTTCAAGGTGAAGAAAGATCAAAAAGGAAAGATAGTGAAGCATAAGGCGAGATTGGTAGCAATTGGGTATGTCTAAAAACCGGGGATAGACTATGACAAAGTCTTTGCACCCGTAG